TGTTTGTTGTCATGTTCACTATACATGCTCTCTCTCTCTCTCTCTCTCTCTCTCTCTCTCTCTCTCTCTCTCTCTCTCTCTCTCTCTCTCTGTGTGTGTGTGTGTGTGTGTGTGTGTTTGTTGTCATGTTCACTATACATGTTCAATATACAACTCCACAAAAAGAGCATCACTGTGCCAGACTGTGTCATTGGACTTGCACCAACTCATCAGCAGGTCAGAACCCAACAGTCAGTCCATGATTCAGTGGACCGATGGATAAGGATACGGCATGTTGCCCAGATTTAGTGATACCCCTGAGCAAAGCGGTGGACTCTAACCCCCCCTGCAACCCTAGCAGACTGTCATTCCAAACCCCTGACAAGAATGCCTGCAAGTCTGAGAAACTAATCTGTCACAGCCATTGAACCCACTCTACACACCCACAATCACAGCAGCCCCTGTCACCTCCTGGCAGATGAGTAGATCCAAAATCTTGACAACGAAGCGCACTTGAGACGAGCCAGTCCAACAAGGAAAGTTTTTTTTTTACCCCAAAAGCAAGCAACAGGAAGCACATCAGGTCTGTTGAATCCCCTTCTTGACTATCTTTGCTTCAGCTTTCTTTGGGGTACCCCTTATTACTTGTTCTTGCCGCTCCCCTCCTTACAGTGCCTCTCCCGTACAAGGCCCACCACGTTGATTATGGTTGAGCACAAGCTGCCCACATCTCCGTGTGCCGTAACGCCCCACTTGCGCACTATGAAAGGAGGCAGAGTGAAGGGGGAGGTATACTCGTGTTCATTTCTCCTCAGATCTTCAGCATATATTTCATCTGCTCTCTTCATGATGCTCATTCATATGCATCTACTACTAGTGTACAGGAGGAAGGGGGGAGGAAAGAGGTAGGGTTCTATAGAAAGCGAGGGGCGCGGAGAGGGAGGAGGTGTGGAAGAGGGAAGTGGAGGGGCAAAGAACAGAACGGATGAAAGGTGAACTACAGGATTCTGAATTTTCACCACTGGAGCAGACTACTCTAGAATGACACAGGCGGCCAGTCAGTGCTCGGGTTGCCGGAAATATTTATTAGCTGCTTGGGCCTGCCTTTGCCTATGGTAAGTGGGCCCCCCTACAGACCAGACAGGACCAGTTGGGGTGTGGACTGTGGAAGCACCACATCCAATTTTCTCGCGGTTCAAGTTGCTGCATCGAATGGCTCGATGTAGACATATGTCACAGGATGCGTGGCTCGCACATGCTAGGAATACAGAGGCACACGCCGACCACAATTGTTTAGGCATTGCCGTTCCAGCCTCGTCTACAAATTGGACGTGACATGTCCGGGTGCTGTACATGAGTGCAATGCTGACTGTCATCAAACATTCAAAAAACAAATGCTTGCATGGGCTAGGCCTTCATAATCCTCACAAAACAGAGCATACGAATGTGTGTCTTCATCCCGCCCAATTCTCGACGCAAAACACAAACTTTGAGTGAATGTCATTCATCACAATTCAAGATGTGGTAGAACAGGACAGAGAATTATTGAGTAAGTTAGGGATGACGTTTATCGTCACCAAAACAACACATAGCAAGTTAAGACTCATGAGATAGTCAGCCTGCAAAATATGTGAAATCCCGAATTCGCATTGAACTCCGCAAAAAATAATCAGAGAAAAGTGTCGAAAACCAAAAGAGTTTGTCGGTCTACAGCGCTCCCTAGAGAACGCCATATCCTATGGTGTACTCTTCTATCCCAACAATTATGAGTGAAACGCTATAGTAGAGTACTCTGGCTCTCCCCTACCTGTTTCAGCTGGTGCCAGATCCAGCCTCATCAGGGGGACGCAACTTCAGGATGCCGGGTAACGAGGGAAATGGTATACTAGACCTCTTTCATCCTCTTTTTTCCTCCCATCCTCGTAACTTCCCCGTACCTCCACAAGTTTTCAGGAATTACCGTAGGCCTAGTCTTCTATCTACCACTGTCCGACCTGTAATTAGCGTTCGCCAAATTTTCCTTTCTTACGTCAGTCCGTTTTTACAATACTTCCGATTCCTACGTCTGCCATCCAGCGGCCCGTACCTCATATATCCGTTGAAAATTCAAGATCTGCTGAAATCCAAATTGCGGACTCCAGAGTTAATCCTCAGGCTGTCCGGCCTGTCGACTCCACCCTGCCCTTTTCCTCTCCGCTGCTACCATCCACAGGCCTTCTAGGCCTTTCTTACAGCAGCCCAATATCTCATATACCCAGTGAAAATCTGAAATCCGTTGACCGTCAGTCCTCAGGCTATTCAGCCTGTCACATCTATTTTGTCCCTTTCAGCTCCGCTGTTCTACGCTTTTTAACAGTCCTCTTTTTTTGTTCGTTAGATTTCCAAGCTTTCCGCTCCGTCTTAGATATCGTTATGTGTTCCCTTTCTTAGATCCTCATCTTCAGATCCTACTTGATTCGAAAGTAAACCCTTCCCTCGATATTTACCCTTCACCATCCACAAAATTTATGTCCCCAGGGTTCCCATAAGATGGAGAGGAAGCAGAAGAAGAAGAAGAAGAAGAAGAAGAAGAAGAAGAAGAAGAAAGGAAGCGGAAGAAGAAGAAGAAGAAGAAGACAACGAAGATGACAACGACAAAGAAGATGACGACAACGAAGACAAAGACGTAGATGAAGACAAATATAAAAAACACGAAGAAGAAGAAGAAGAAGAAGAAGAAGAAGAAGAAGAAAGGAAGCGGAAGAAGAAGAAGAAGAAGAAGAAGAAGAAGAAGAAAACGAATATGTCAACGATAACGAAGGTGACAACGACAAAGAAGATGACGACAACGAAGACGAAGACGTAGATGAAGACAAAGATAAAATGGCATGAACACATGGAAGACCTAGTTGAGCATTCTCAGTCCAACAATTGCCACGACGGCTGGCATTGAGGATGCCCACCATACGCCCCCGACAAATGGCATGTCGATTGCAGGCCAAAATGAAGGAAGAACGGTCACCACAAAAGACCATGCATTCAGTATAACGCCCATGGCCGCAAAATGGACATACAGTGTCCGGATGCGGAGGGTGCCTGCAGTCAGGAATGGAGGGACAGTCCTCTGCACACATGGATGCAGAAACCATGTGATTGTAGTGATTGTGACAGAGACGATGGCGGGTACAGCCGAGTGTAACAATGTTTGTGGCTGTGCAAAGGAGAAGGTCACAGAGTGTTGGTACATTGTGTTGCTGCAGCACGAGGCCAGAGGAATGATCTTCGACATAAAAGAGATCGCAGACGGTTTGTTGTGGCAAAAAAACAGCATCATTTTGTAAGAAATCAGTGACATCAGTCATGGCATGGACCATGGTGCCGTTGTCCCACAGCTCCCAGTGGTCAGAGGCATGTACAATGGACATATAATGGCCAGGTCCATGCACAATGCAGGCAGAGATATGGGATGGAGGATTAAACCACTCACCGGCTCAAGCATCGCGTAGTTCAAGTTGACGGTCCCTCATTGCTACTTGTAGGACAGCAATGGTAAAGCCTCCTTCACTGGTATGGTCACAATCCTCTAGCTATAGTTGGGGGCATTAGCATCAAGCTGAAGGGCGATTGCAAGGAAATCTGATGGTGTATAAAACGGAGGCAGTGGAGACTGTGAAGACACATATTAGTTGCCGTCAGACCACAGAGATTGGTGAGGTTCTCACGCTGGTTTGTTGGATGCTGGCCAACATTGCAGATCACCCAGATGGTGTTGCAAGCCCAAATTGTGTTGGGTTGTTTGCTGGTCAGTCATTTGCAGATCACCCATGTGGTCTGCGAGTGGCGGAGCACAAATTTGTGGCTCATCCGAACAATGCTGGTCAGCCATTTGCAGATCCCCCATGTGATCTACGCCCTGTGGGGTCAACTGCAATCCGGGCAGATCATGTTCCAATCCCTCGACATTTAGGGCTGCATCCTGAGTAGGGACTGTCCTTGGAGTTGGGAGTGTACTCTGGGCAGGGACCAAATCGTGTTGTACAGGTGGTCGTGAATATCTAACGCTGCAAGATATAAAACGTGGTGACGTGACTGCCTGCAGGCAGCTGGACTGTCTGCAGGAGGCATAGGAGCGGATATTGCCATTTGAAACAAAGGGACTGCAACCACCTGTGGAGGAGGCACAGAGAGAATTGGGGCATACAAAGAAACAGGTCGCTGATCCCCGGACAAGTGACAATGTTGCGGATGTTGTCGGCGATACACAACAAGAGGAGCAGTGGTGTTGCAAACAGAAGATGAACTCGTCCTTAGCGACGAAGGTGGAACAATGGGAACAATGAAAACCGGAGAGTCAGTTCGCAAGCGAGACCATGGAGGAGGTGGGGGTGGTAAAGAGGAACGCAGCCATCTGCGCGGCCAAGCACAGAAAGAGATGAGAAGGGGGTGGATTGGGAAAGATTTCGAAACGTGAGTGTCGGAGAGACTGTGATGTTATTTGCACTGGAGCTGCAGGAGAGGAAGCTGTAGCAGTAAAAATTACACTACGGCAGGGTTGCATCCCCGCCGACCGTATTGTACCGACCGATCGTGGCCGACCGGTCGGCGGTTAGCCGACGGCTCAGAAAACAGTCTTCCTCTGATTTTTTTTTTGTTCTGACTTCGGGTCTGTACGGCGCTTGCTGAGTACAGCCCAAATCCGCTGAGAAACTTTGG